AGGAATGCCAAAGCGATGTGTTGAGGGAGAACCCCTCCACTCCACATCAGTCACAAGCAAATGGCTGGATTTGAATATAAGCTTAATATGCGCTGCTAATTATCTGATTTCTCAAATGATGAACAAAGCCATTAATTTTTCTGATTTTCAGATCAAGTGGACTCTGAGTTGCTGCAGGGTTACAGCAGGTACCTGCCGCACGATACTGTCATCATGACTGTGAGAGTGGCCATCCTGTTTGCTGTGCTTTTGACAGTGCCTCTAATCCACTTCCCAGTGAGTGCTCCTCGACATTTTGAAGCTGGCATAAGCAATGGTAACGCTAATGCTTTGCAGACTGCAGTATTGGAGACACATCTACTCTTGTGTATCTTATTCACTTGTCAAGTGATTGATCAAAGACCACATATTTGCATATGTTCCATGAGACCTCCAAAATAACAACTAACCACTAAGCTAATTTGTGCTCTTGAGACAGATTTCAGATTAAAACTAGCCCACAGCATTGTTTTTAATTTAGAGAATTCAGAACTTCTAAAGTTTATTTAGTTTGATTTTTTTTTTTCCCCTCTTAAATTGAGTTTTGCTGACTTGGTTTTTCCTTTCTATGTGCACGCACCCACACACAAACACATTTATACTTGAAAACTCAATTGAACTGTAAATTAAAAACACATATTTCACCAAAAACCTCTATTTTAATTTATCAATAGCATGGTAGAACTGAAAATTAGAACAAAACAAAAAAAGTTGTGCATGTATAACTGTGTGTATGGAAGCAGCGTAGAGATGACATATCAGTGGGCAACATCCTGACATTTGCTGCCGAGCGTGCTCAAAGACACAACGCGGTGTCCCCCAGGCCTTCCTTTGTCCCTGCAGAAGAAGAGAGTAATTCCTGAAGACTAATGGCCACGTGGGAAATACTGCTTTTAATACTGAAGTAAACTCTTGTGCTGCAGAAAGACAAAACTTTTAACTATCGCTAATGTTTTTGCATTTTGATTTTTAACAATGTTCTTTCACATCTGAAGTGATGTAATTCTTAAGTCTGTGAAACTGAGATAAGATTCAAATATCTGTATACATATGGGTTTACCCATGCAGTGTTTCTCTTCGTATTATGTAGGCGAGGAAAGCTGTATTGATGGTGTTTTTCTCTCATCTTCCTGTGTCGTGGATTTGCCATATCCTTGTCACCTTAACACTGAATACAGTCGTCGTTTTGTTCGCAATGTACATGCCAGACATTAAAAATGTGTTTGGAGTAGTTGGTAAGTTGTGGTGATGGTTTGGGGGTTGTTTTTTTTTAACTTCAAAACATCCAGTATATTACGATAAGCTACTTCAGTCTTGCTCTAACTAAAATCTTACTTTCTGTTTTTTAAAGGTTCGACCACATCAACATGTTTGCTTTTTGTATATCCTGGACTATTTTATCTTAAACTTAGCAGAGAGGACTTTCTATCACCACAGAAACTTGGGGTATGCTTTTTTTCATGCGTGCTAATCATATTTAAACGTATTAGGTGCATCTTAATACACTGCAGAGCACGTAATCCAAGGGGCAAAGTTCTTGTTTTCATTGCAGTTCACAAAATCTGTGAGCATTTTCCTTTCTCCTTCATGATAGCTCTGGTCTTCCTGAAACTCCTTCTTCACGAGAGATCTTTGACTTGCAGTGTGTCCATGTGCCAGACCGTTGATCT